GAGATAATCAATTTAGGGAGAGAAAAATTTTGTGTTGACTGACACGGTTTAGGGATTCCATCCAGTGATTGGTTGATAACTCCCTGCTTTGAGCCTGGATGATATTTCATGGTGGAAATGTGGGATGGAGAAAAAGAGAAGAGGGGCGAGACTGTGGTCCCTCCATCACCTTTGAGAACGAACCCTCAGTGCTCCCTAAACTTCTCACTGTACCCCATTTCTTAAAGGTTCCACAGCCATTAACACAAAGCCCTTTAGAAGATATGCATGAATCTGATGCAGGCTTTTGCTTCATATTTGTGATTAAATTTCCTTTGCTGAACACAGGCTAAGAATGGCAGGCACAAGGACCATGTCTTTCTCCTGGGGGGGGCAGACCTTAGTCTCTACCCTTAATACCATCCACACTGAGTTTTTCACAGTGTGCCCTTTGAGAAATTTTCCTTTTATTCCTGGTGTGTGAGGGCGTGTGAGTGTGCATGTGTGTGAGTGTGTGTATGTATGTGCACAGGTGTTCATGTGTGTATGTATGTGTGTGTTCATGTGTGTGAGTGTGTGTATGGTGTGTGTGTGAGTGTGCATGTGTGTGTGAGTGTGTGCATTGTATGTATGTGTATGTTTGTGTGTGTGTGTGTGTGTGTGTGTGTTCTTGCATGCTGGCGTGACACACACGTGGTGGTGGTGGTTATCCTTGGCAGGAGTCACTTCTCTTTCCACCATGTAGTCCCTGGGAATTGAACTCAGGTCATCAGGTTTAACAGCCGGAGCCTTTACCCGCTAAGCCATCTTGTCGTCCTGTGTTACATTATTTAAGTTTCAAGTGTGAAGTAACTCGCCATTTTGGTATAAACCCAACTTAGTTATGTTGTAAAATTTCTTCATATATCAAGGATTCCTTGTGCCTAGTTTTGGCTGAAGGTTTTTCTGTCTATCATTGTGAGATATTGGTATAGATTTTCTTGTGATATCTGTTTTTAGTTTCAAAGATCATACAATATTAGACTTAAGAACAAGAATACTATTTCTTCTTTAACTTCTTTGGTAAGAGTTTAAGAAGAATTGATATTGTTTCATTTGTAAGGGCCTGTAGAACTCACTGGTGAAACTGTCTAGACCTGGGGCTTTCTATGTCGGTAGCTCCTAGCTCCTATTTGATATCTTAGGGGAATGCTTATGCTTTTTATTTCTTTTTGAATCAATTTTTCCAGTTTGTTTTTATTTCCTTCACATTATCTGCCCTGTTGGCACATGGGGGACCAGGGGCTCTTCACGTTCCTTAGAGTCCTTTTATCTCTGTAAGGCCAGTCAGTTTGTCTCCATTTTATTTCTGATGTTTAGCAATTCCAGTGTTACCACCTGTTTGTGTAGCTAACATAGCTAAAGGTAAGTTGATATTTTTAAATTTTAAATGAACCAACTTTGAAGATTTTTTCCTTTGGATTCTCCATTATTTATCAGTTCTACCATAAATCTCAGGGCCTCCTGCCCTCGCTTTTATATCGCTTGGCTTCACAGAGTTCCTCACACCGACCTATGATGCCAGTGGACACAGACTTCCTGTTTTTCTTACATTTTCTCCTTTCCATCTGGCCCTGCCTTGGGACCAACAAACCTTCCATCCATTTGCCATCTGGTCAACCCCAGTCCTCCACAAGCTGTTCCCTGGGCTCCAGACAGAGTCATACGCCCCAGTGGATCCTCCTACCTTTTTCTCTCACTGGGTAACAGCACGTGCTGTGTGGACCACACTGAATCCACTCTTGGGCTTTTGGGCCCCAGACTGTTCTTCAATGATCCTCTTGGGTAAATGCCGCGCTTGCAGTGTCTATGGGGGTGTTCCATCGAGATGAGGTAGATAAACAGTTTTGAGGTGGAACGTTATTGTTTACAACTCAGGTTGGAGCCCTTCCGTTTGAAGCTGGGGATGGAGTTAGGGCCTCAGACCTCTCTCTCACTGAACTGCACATCAGACTTCACATCCCTTGAGCACCCGACTCCTGCTCTTCTTCCGTGCTTCTGCAGGGCAGGAGGAAGCAGCTCCTCACAGCCTGCCTTTCGTTCAGCTCCTTCAGACCTCTGTTCTCCGCCAAGCACAAGCTTGTAATTTACTGAAAAATTGTAGAGTTCTCTATTTTCACGAGACAGGCAAGACCCTGTCTCGGGTCCTTGCAAACACAGTGACTTCCTGGATGCTTACAGAAGATATTCCTTTAGACAGATAAACCTCGGTGGCTATGGATAGTATTGTTTCTGAGTCCTGTTGAACTATGGCAACAGTGCAACGCAAGACACCACGTGTTAACTATTTCTTCAGACTCCTGTGGTGTGGACTGAGAACCTGTTTGGCAACATTAAGGTCCAGATCTAATGGAATGTTACCCTACAGACGGGTCCTTTCATTCAAGCTAGAGCTGAATTGTTATAACACGAGACAGGAGCGAGTGAGGACTCAGCCTTCCCAGCAGTCAGAGCCTCCCACACTGAGGCTGGAAAGGGACATTTCAAATCAGATTCCAGATGCTATTGATTTTGTTTTCCAGTCTGAATTGCAGGACAATTTGTTACAATGCTGCATGCCTACATCGGTCTTAATTATCTCATGGACATCTAATAGACTTAATGAGACTCCTGAACAGACTTCCATCAATTAATGGCCCGACATCTTCCTGTTTTCTCTTTTAGCACTGAGGCTTAGTCAGTTGTTTGGTTAGTTCCACAGTTGTTTGTGTATATTCCACAGAAACTGTCAACTTACCTGAATCAGTTGTTTGGTATGTTCCAGCACATTCTAGAACACTGAAAACTTAGTACATAAGCAAATGTGCAGGACCAATTTAAAAGTGGATCGCTGGAGGCTTGGGAGGTGGCTCCACTGTTCTCGGGTGCAGAACCATTTCCTGCCTATATTATTTTCAGTTAATAACTTCTGGGCTCTGAAAATCGATTTGGTCAGCAATGCTTGCTACTGTCCCTCAGTTACTCAAAAGCTAAGAGAGTGAAAAGGGAGCAAGCTGTCTGCCTTCACAAAGCGATAGACCCGGTGCTGCACGTGTGCGGGCCTGATGTCAATTTTAGCTTAAAAAATGTGGGCACGGCTGAATTTTCTGTGCTTTCATGTGTGGTGCGTCCTCTTTGTCTAAGAAGGGATGGAGGGAAGGTATTTGACAGTTTGTAAATGAAGGAAGAACATTTCTTTTCGAGGCTGTGTTTTTGATTTGCCGTGTGTGTCTGTGTTGGTATGTGCATGGGATCAGGGTGCCCGTGGAGTGAGGAAGAGGAGGCCAGATCACCTGGAGCCGGAGTTACAGGCAGTCGTGAGCTGCTAGATAGGAAGTTCTGAGAACAAAGCCTGGGTCCTCTGCAAGAGCAGAATGTGCTTTTAACCACCGGGCCATTTCTCCAGCCCTAGAGAAAGTACATTTAGATACCTTGTCTACTTGTGAGTAATGCTTGCTGGGAAAGCTTCCTGGATGCAATCTTAGTAAATACACCTGCATTGTTCTACTCTACTCTACTCATAATGCAAATTACTTATACAATTTCTAAAACATAAAGCAATACTTGTTTGAGATCAGTGACGAGAACATTCAAGTTTGTTAGTTAATGTGTAAGTCTTCCTACCCAGAAGACAGAGTTTATACTGTGAGTTGAGCGATACCCAAGACAACGTGGCCAGACCTGCCTGTGGCAGCCTGGGGATGCCCATGCTGTCCCTCTGTGCTATATGATGTTGGGGACACAGCATTCCTTTCCCCTTATTTCCAGTGTGGCCACTACTCAACAATGGTAATGATACCAACGTCTCTAAGAGGTGGAGGATTTCATGGGCTGCTAGAAACACTGATAATGCTTAACACCACACACTGAGGGCTTCCCTTTTGTCTATTTATTCCTCCCAGAATTTGGAAAGAGGGTAGACCAGGGGTGTGTGTGTGTGTGTGTGTGTGTGTGTGTGTGTGATATGTATGCATAGTGTACATATTTGGGCACACATGTGTTAGAGTATATATGCACATATGTGTGCATACATGTGATGGTCATAGTTTGACACTGGGTATCTTTCTCTTTCTTTTGCCATCTCATTTACTTATAACTTAATTTTATTCTTTGAGAATTTCATACATGTATGCAATGCATTTCAATCACGTGTCTCTCCCACCCCAACTCCTCTGAATCCTGCCTCACTCCCTTTTTTCAACTTCATGTCCTCTTTTTTTCAATCTGTTCTCCAATATTTGCTATGAATAAATACATGAATGTGAGACATCAGTTGGAGCATGGCCAACTTTCTCTCTCTCTCTCTCTCTCTCTCTCTCTCTCTCTCTCTCTCTCTCTCTC